GGGGAAATTTTTCTATATTAAAAAAAAATGGTTATATACAATAGTTGTAAATAGTGCTATTAAAAATAATTGGGAGCTGTATTTACAGTAGTTCCCGCCAAGGAAACTGTATAATTAGGGAGACTTGCATATAAATAAAAATATGGATTTCGTTATCCCTCTGTCTTCTTTTCCTAGTGAAAAGACAACGAAAAAAAGAAAAGAGGGAAGAAATTAATGTGCTGAAATAAGTGTATCTGGGGAATAGTAGAGTCAGATGCAGGTAGGACATGGACAGGGAAGCAAAGGGTGGGTTTTAATAACCGCATAATTTTACCACATTGGAAACTGGAGAATACGTGCTACAGCAGGCACTGCTGGTGTGTGTTCCCTTAGTTTTCAAACCCATTCCCTCTTCCTGAACAAATCCAGCTCTTGCATAGAATTTGTGATCTCAACACGTTTAAAATGTTTTGGGTTTGGAAAAGCATTTCTTGCCAAAATTACATGAGCACACCTCAGTGGATTTCAGCTCCCATTACACCTAAAGCCTGTGCATACATTTTGATTTCAAAACGAATCCAGCTTTTTATAATACAGCTACGGAATGTGGTTTCTTTACCTCCAAAAATTTTGAAATCCAGTCAGTTCTGCTCTAGCTTGCAGGAAGCAGTATCAGGCAGTTCTGAGCATTGCCAGCTGACTAGCAGACTGGTAATATCAGGAGAAATAATACATTACTAGACATCGGTACATTATGTAGACATCGTACAAATAATACATTAAAAGACAGACAGCTGAGGCAATGTATAGCCTTAACACCCTCACAAACAAGTGAAGCTCATCTAAACTTACTAGTTGTTAATTAAGGCTGGCTCAGATAGTTAAATGTCAGGACTCTAGGCTTCCACTGCCATGTAAGTCATTAACGTTAGATGCTTACGTGGCCTCTGCCGCGCTCCCTTCTGCTGCTGGCTGGTTTAAATATCGCTTCAGTACATCTACAAGAGTTTTAAGGACACCTCTGATCAAAACAGATAGAAGCAGAGTAAGCCCTAATAAAATCATCTTACCCACTTTGTAAAACGACTAAAAAAAGCTTGCCTCATTGTGATATTTTGAATAAAACCAAGGTTTATTATAAAAAAAAATACTTAGAGGAATGGATTTTTAAAAAAACAATTATAGGGCTAAATTTCCTACCTGCCAGCTTTAGATAAGCATTCTCTAGAGAGTGACTGAATCTGTCTATGTGCCCATGCAATGATTATAAACACCAAAAAGCTGCCAAACTGGGTCAGCATGCATGTTGACAAACGCCATCTCCTGCTTCCAGCAATAGCCAGTATTTCAAAAAAAGTCTAAAAGGTAGATAATACAATTGGTCAGCTTGGCCACTGGTACACTCCAGAATAAAAATAATTACTCCTGAAGCTAGTACAGTCAGGAATGCATCATATCTAATGGACATAACTCAATTTAGCTACAAGTTTTACAAAGTTCTGCTTCCTTACCAGCGACACGAAGATGAGATTAACATCTATGGGTGAAATAGGAATTTAAACTTTTTAACAGGCAACTTTTTTTGCAACAGGCTCCCATTGGAGCAAATGGTACAGAATTTATTAAATTACTTTTACAGAAATAGTAGCATGTAAGGTTTTTTAGTATTACAGATTATTTGGAGTAGTAAGTAACCTTTGACTTTCTAAAAGGCATTCTTGCCCTACTAAGTAACTTTCAGCTCTTCAAATATCTCCTGAACTTCACTTCTTCGTGACAAGCTCCCTCCGTGGTCTTTTCTCCCACTTGAGGCCTGTGAATTCTGGTTTTTGGACTGTACGTTGTTATGGGGATTACCTGTGGTTTGTCTTGTCAAACACCGAAAGCACTTTCAGCATTTCAATAAATGTCACAGTCTGAAAACATTTCAGTCTGAAATGACCGCGAGTTTTTATGCATCGTTTTACTGTTTCCAAGTTTGTCAAATTTCAAATATGATTTTCACTGGTTTGCTCCCATTTTTATGCTTTTCTGTGCAACTCATGCTTAAGGAGACTTCAGAATAGCTTGAGGAGCTATTACCAATTTAATCACATCTTTTTATTCTACATTTAACAGCATTGCACGTGTATCTGTTCCATCCTTTCACAGGGGGCAGTTAGTGCGTCAGCATAAAAGCGTTATTCTCTGGGTTCGCATTAGGTTGGGAGGTTATGTAAAACAGTTGAGCAAAAGAATACAAATAAAGCTTTGTCACTCCTAAACGTGTAGTCAAAAAAGCAGCTTTTCTCAGGCCTGCTAATACTGGATCAAAGAACAACTGAGCCAGGAGCAGCAGCTAAGCAACTTTCCTTTGCTTCTCCAGGCTCTTGGAGAATAGGAGCTGCTGAGTTCACTCTTCAAGAGTATTTTACTGATCTTTGTTCACTGGATAGCTCTATGGAAGATTTTGGAAGTTTTAAAATGATGCTATAATGTTACTGTAGAGGAGGGTGGTATAGTTAATGGGGTCTGCCCACCACCTCTTCTAGGGGCTAGCCAGTAATTCTGAAACATACTTAAAAGCATTAGGAAAGGCTTTTCAGAAATTATTTCTTTGCCTAATTAAAAAAATTATCTACTGAGTCCAAGAATGCTTGTCAATACAGAAGGAAAATGGAACACAGTTCTATGCTGAAACACACTAATGAGATACTGAACATTCATCTCAGTAATTAACGCGGCTATGTTTAACACTTTGTTGTTCGAGCTGGTTTGAGTCCTGGCTGCTGCTGTCAGACCAGTTGAATTGCTCATCCTGCTCATCAACAAGAGTTTGGAAGCTTGGTTATATCCTGATTTTTAACCTTTCCAGTCTTATTGTCATTGGCAGGAGCCTTCTCAAGCGTAAAAGGTGACCATGCTTCTGTGTACATATGACAAGGTGCTGGGACAAAGATGACATTTTTCAGGGGAGCCCATGAGGTGCCATGTTTTGGGTTTGTGACAGACACAGTGTCAGTAAGACACCAGTGTTCTCGCAATTGCTGAGCAGAGCTTGCACAGTGTCAAGGCTTTCTCTCTTTCCTGCTCTGTCCCTGCAGTGGGGCAAAAAGGTGGGACGGGGCACAACCTGCACACCTGACAAACCAGCCATCAGAGATACTCTATGCCATGTAATGTCATGCTCAGCAATAAAAGCTGAGAGGGATTTTTTTGCTACTGACCTGCTTGTGGGAAGTCATGAGTGATTATTTTTGCATTCCAGTACCTTAGGTATTTTCTTCCTCTTTAATTATTAAAGTGTTTTTATCTCAGCCCATGAATTTTCTCACTTTTGCTCTTCCTATCCTCTCTCCCATCCCACTGGGGTTAGGGCTGAAGGTGAGCCAAGAGCTATACAAGGTCAAACCCCACAATTAACTATTCCATTGCACTGGAAGATCATTCCAAGATTAGCATTTATTGTTTGTTTATTAATCCTTTTTGACAACGGCTCATGTTAATACTTTGTATATTATATGTCACAGTTAAGTACAGTTACATAAATTAATTACAAATCAGAACACAGTATTAACTCTTGAAAGACTTCAATGTTCAGGAGTTAGATCAAACTTCCTAATCTATTGCACAGAATTAGCCAAAGTTCAGTGACTTTAATTCACACTCTTCCTACCTTTCTGGACTGAAAACATTGTTCTTCAGAAGAGCATGGACTTTCTGAAGTATTATGTATTGTTTACTGCAATAATATTATAATACATGGTACCACTAAGACAACAGGTGCTGGATCAGAGGAAAACACTGCGAAGATTACGTTCAGAGAAGCCTGCAGGTGCAACAGACCATCACCACTTCAGCTGCATCTAAATGCAAGCCAAGGACATTTGATGTTGGGCACTGAAAGATACTCTCTGTGAACAGAGAAAATCCATTCCGTGTTTTTTTGAGTTTTAACTGTCTAGTCTGTCTTAATATGGTATTGAAAAAGACAGCACCAGCATTACTGATTACAGTTGTACAGCAAAGGCAAATGTCAGGTTCCTTAAGCAACCCAACATGTTCCCATTTTGGGCTGAGTCCCTGCTATCCCAAATTCAAATCACGCTGCTATTGTGCAAGCCTGCCATATACTCACTGTAGTAGAGACATGCTTCTCCTATGACTTCATTTAGAAATCACATTTTGCCAAGGCATTAGTAATCTGCAAGGGAATTCCTCTCAGAACAGTATCAGAACCATCTAAAAATTTGTATTTATTCTATCATTATACAGAAGAGCAGTATATTAAATCACTTCCTCTGAACTCTTCCCATGTTTTGTAAACATACCATAACTAACTTAAAAATTGTGCACACAAGAGGGAAACAATCTTTAAGTCCAGCATAAAACCACTTATACATTTAAATCATATGTTATATATGTGCATTATCACATCTTGGGCACCTATTGTCTTAACATTTTCTATGTCACTGTCTTGTAAATAAGACAAGTAAAGTATTCAAGTGGTTTAGCACCAAGAAGTTAGTAGAGAACTTTTCAGCAATGTACCTACTAACAACTAGGCATAAGTATCATACAAATACAGATGGAAACTTAAATGCTTTAAATGTTACTTGCAATCCCAGAACAATGCATCTTTAAAATAAAAGCTTAATTCCACAACAAATACTCCCTTTGATACCATGCACATACTGTTAGTAGCAACTTGTTACCCTAGCTGCAATACATTCTGCTGCTACGCCCTGCCTTTTACTAGGAAAAGTTCTCTGCATATGTGTATGTATGTATTAGGTATGTATACATACACAATATAAAATTATAATAAATATACATTGCCTTATTGTCAGAGAAGTATACAGACTAAAGTATCCAAATAGGAGAATTAGGTTGGCAGCTAAAAATTCTGTGTGTATTTCCTCATAAGGAATTAAAGCTTTTTTTATCCTGGTATATTATTAGCAACATCAAACTGTGCAACCTTAAAGTTCAAAGACAAAGAACAAACCGGCTAGCAACACGCAAGGCTAAGAGTGCTTTCAACGGGCAGTATTTTGAGTCTGTAGTCGCTCAATCAGTTGTTCAGCCTACGAAAGAGAGAAAGCAATGCATTAACTACACTGTGGATCTTCAGTATATGGAAAATTTTAAAAATAGTGACACTGACAGAGCATTTACTTTCCATTTACAGACAAAGCACAATACAATGATTGATTTAACCAGCAGACTCTTTTTCATAGTTTTCATCAAACTCCCATTAGGCGATCAGAAGACGAAACGGAACCTATGAAAGTCAGAAGATGTTTGAGCAAATAAACAGCAGATAAAGTGGCATGGTTTTGAAGACCTCAGAAGGCAGCAGTGCTCAGAACAACCAAGCTCTGAGACCTGGAATTTTTTGGGAGACGCTGCAGAATGTTGTGGCCTGCTGTCACCCAACCAGCCGCACACGCTGCTGCTGAGAGATGGAGTGCACTCACCTACGCAGTTCACGTCATGAGACATACATCCATTCTTTGGGTATGTCACTATGCTCACATGGAACTTCTCCCGTCGTATGGCTAATTTTGCATCTAGCATGTAACTGGGACCACTGTATTTTGTGTATGTCACAGCACCAGCCCACAGAGCCCTCAGAAAGGCTGAAGGCAGAAAAGTCTGCCGTCATTGTTCTTGCAGGTCAACTCGGGCATGTGGAGACTAACGTAGGCACTTCTGAAATAAATCTGTTTACTGTCAGCTATTTCACCAGTCCCACTGAATTAATCTCTGATTTTGAACTAGTGCTTGAGGCTATTACCATCTCCAAAGGAACCACCTTAAAAGGTGAAAAGCTTAAGTTTGGCATGCTTTAAATATACACAGTAAAAATGCAATCAGCTACTTAGGGTAGGAGCAGCTTAACAGGAGAAAAGTAGCTCTTGCAGTTTATTTGCAAATAATGCTAGGTAAAGCATAGACCAGCTGAAAATTAAGATATCTGAATCTTGTTTTGCATTCTTAAACAAGTATCATATTCAAGTTATTACAATTAAAAACACATCAAACAACTAAAACCAACTCAAAACCATTTTCCAACTTGACAACAGGGCAAAATACCTTCTGAAGTGCATCCATACTGAATAATCAAACTTGGTACAGATCTCCCTGGGCTAATCCAAGATCACAGCTATACTTATTTGAGGGCCAAATATCTGCGTAACACCCTACGATACAGCATAGTTGGGTTTTTTTTTCCTCTTCAGGTCAGAGGCTGTCTGTGTTCTTTAGATGGCAAGGCCCTTCTCAGCATCTTTGTTTTAGGGCTGTGCAGTAACACCAGGATGCTGCTGCTACATTGCAAGAACAGGTTCTTTCCTGAATCAGATCAGCGAGAGTAAGCTTTAGAAATCGAGAGAGAGAGAGATTTTCAGTGAGTTAGTGCCAATTCAGTCTCACTGCTCATCTCTACTGGCACAAATCAGCACAATGTTTTTGTAAAGCAGACACTTGTTTTAATATGAAGATGCCAAGATGAGGAAAAACTATGTGAACTGATAAAAGCTACGATTAGGTGGACAAGTTTTTCACCTAAACTGGATGAACCAGCATATGTACAACACAGTCCATCGCATTTGAATAAATTCTTTTAAACTGGAGAACAAATACTTGTAAAGTATCATCAGAAGCACATGACATTAACCTAAGACATACATCAGGTCCAGAAGTACTGCATTGCTTGCTGTTAATGCTACTGGCACTCCATTCCCTTTAATAAGCACAAACATTAAGGTTTTTACCATTGTATTTTCTCAAATAGTTAATACAAAGTAATCACTCAAAGAATTTTTGGACACAGTTAATATGTTTGAAACACACCTCTTTTTCAGCTTGCAATTGAAAACCTACCAAAAATCTCATCCACACTGTACTTACTGTGATAAACCAGTAGGAATTGATTCTGTAATAGAGCCTGGATAAGAATCCCATCTGACTGGCCGGAGCTAGGACATGAAGATGCAAGTGGGATATTGAGCAGAACGGAGGCCAGTGAAAACCCATTCTTGAGAAAAAGAAAACAAGTAAAAAATACTGGTAATGTTAATTCAGGAAGAACTGGAACATCACAAGTTATTTTGCATGAGCAAATGAATTAACAACTCATTGCATTTTTCTTGTACATAAAGGCAGGAACAAAAATATGTCCTTTCCTTTCATAATGCTCTCAGGGAATCTTTTCAAAGGCCCATAAACCTTCTCCTTCACATCTCTGATTTAAGACACATTTTGTTAAAAAGGGTTTCAAAATAAAATGTATCATACCTACTTTTCAGCTTGAAAGCCAACTGTCACTAGATAAATGTAGTTTCTACCATTTTAATCACGAAGGCTCAGCTCCCTTTACTCTACACTATTTAAATTGCAATTTACTTCACCTGTCACAGGCACTGTCTTAAACTAAAAGGTGCAGCACTGAAATCAAACAAATGCAGGTATGACTGAAACAAAATGCAGTGCTCGGCTCCAATAGAACAAAGTTTCTCTCTCTTCTGGAATCTAGAACTTGGAGCATATTTTCAGCACACAATTAAAGAGCAGCCTTTCAGATAATTTTTTTGAAGTGCCCTTCCTATCCCAAGATGCACTCAAGAAAGAATCTCTGAGTTGGAAGGCAACCTGCACTGGAACTTCATCAGAAAAAAACCCAAAACATATTCAATGCCAGCACATTCTACTTGAGGAGTCATGTGATAAGTGAATACAGACACAATTTCGCCAACAAATCACACTGCAGTTGTTGCCACCATATCTAAAATAGCATTCTGAGAAGTAAAAAACATACTCAATAAAAGCAGAAGGTTTCCATTACATACCTTGTATCATTCAAGTCACTAAAATTGTTTCTCTGAAGAACAGCTTTTCCAACTTCCATCATTCTCTTCACTGTTAAACACAAATAAATTTCATTTAATGTTTAAGTAATATTGGACACATCATATGTCATCAAGTAATTTAAAAAAGGTATTCTTCAGAATATTAACTTCAACAAGCTGAATACAGTGAGAACACAAACATGGGGCTTTCAAAATACAAATACTGTAACTCCTCATAATCCAACAAAAATTGTCAAGACAGCATTGGGCAACAATTGATGTGAAAATTGCCACTGTTACCAATTTCCACACTAATGCTGTTCTAAAGTGTGGGATTATTCTGAGAACTTTGGCCCAAGCCACACTATTACCACACCCTTACAAAAGAAACAACAAATACTGATTGGTCAGAACGATGTTTAAGCTAATTCCGGTGTTATATCTCTACACAGCTACAGGACTTTGATCTCTGGGTCCTGTGCAGCCTGGCATAAGTCAGAAAGTTTCAGAGATGGTACACAAATTTAAATTAAAATAAAATAAAACTGTTGGTTCTATTTATTACTAGGACTAAGTTTCACTACTGTATCATTAAAATACAGCATCACAAAACCTCAAGGCAGAAGTCTAAGGAAGCATCTTGAAGCTAAACACATAAAGAAGTTGCTTCTGGATAAAATTACCCTACATTTAAAAGAAAAATACAGTGATGCAGGATTTGCAAAATACACCTCTAACTCTTTTCTTGCATCACCTGTAAATTTCCCTAAGGTGGAATCTCTTCATGCATTCACAGGTGTAATTTGTTCTGTTATTCAACACTTAGCTAGCCACTTCTTGTGAAACAAATTCCAGGACAATGTTAAGGAAAAAAAAAAAAAAAGGGCCTATAAACAACAAAATGTAGTTTCAATATTTTAGAATTTTATTGTTTAAAAAATTATTGTATTAAAACACCATTTCCTTCTTTTTCTCTCACTCCCTTTTTTCCTGAGAAATAACGTAGCACTTATTTTAAACTATACATGTTATAAAATGCTTCTATAGTTTTACATATAATTCAAAATTGCATTTATATCTAAGAAAACACAGTGAAGCAGCACATAAACATTTTAAAAATAAAGCTGCAGCTCCAACAAAGCGCAGAGACATCTATACTCCATGCAAACAAAAGAGATTTCATGCACCAATTTTCTAGAATTGCACAAAAAAAAAATAAAGCAAGCAGCACTATTCTAGAATAGCACGTGGAAGTTCCCAGGAAGGGCAAGTCCCTGCCTACCGTCACTCAAACCACCTGTTTTCATGTTTACAGCCTTGAATGAGGCCGTAACCAAATGATGATCAAAGGTGTAATTTACTTGATGACACTGTTTAAGGCTGTGCGAAGTTATTTTCCTTTAAGCACACCCTTACAGCCTTACCTAAAGGAATGTGCTCGGCCTTCAGTGTTTTGCAGTTTCCCATGTGCTCCACTGGCACCACCAGGTAGTGGTGGGGGGCACCGGGTTTGATATCTCTGAAGCAAGCAAGGTCTTCATACTGAAAAAGGATGCAAACGCGTTACACTGATTAGGACGAGGACGCCGTCAAAGAGTAGGTAACCAAGCCCATCTCCCCCACATCGATGTGGTACCTTAACGTTGTATTTGAATTACCTAGCAAAACCCTCCAGATCTATGGAGGAAGCCCCGGTCAGCACAGCCTGTGTCCTCCGCTGACCTCCTGCAGTCGGGATTCCCAGCTTTAAGGTTTCCGGCTGCCGGGCCAAACTTTAAGGACGGCAAAGTATTTTCCCTCCTTTCCCCATAAAAACGCCGAGGACCTCTCAGACGACCGGCACCAGGGGACGGACACACACACAGGGCTTCAGGGCTGG